ATATACAACTCTATTGCAATTTTGCAATATTTGTTCATGCTGATAATACTCAGCAATTTCAAACATATGTAAAATAAATTTAAATAAATAAATTTTATTCGATAAATAAACTTGACATAATATTGAAATTTTTAAATATTTTTTAATGATGTGCAATTTGATTGTTGAAAGAAAGAACTATGTATGTGCAATATTTTTTATATGTCAAATTGAAAATATTGTTTACAGGCTGTAATATGCGAAGCTGTCGGTCTAGATGAGGTTGTATCTGACGCTCCCAGATTAATCGTTGCTCGCGTACCTCTGTGTACCGGTGATATTCGAACAAACAATACAGTCGATCAAATGCGAGAGGTGCGATTTCTGTCGTGTTTATCCGATCCGAATGTAGCACGTGTTTTAGGAGTGTGCACTGTCGAACCAGTGCCATGGACGATCATCGAGTATACGGAACTCGGTGATCTGGCTCATTATCTTCAATATAGTGTACCACTTACAGGAACGCTCAGGCCAAATTGCAATTTAAAAACCCTTAGGTAAACTTGTTTCTAAATGAAAGTTCTTAAATGTCAAAACCATATTCTTTAGTCATGTTTTGCTTTTCTTATTTAAAAATACAAATTATACGAAATTCGTGTGAGAAAGAATATTAAAATAAGATTTTAAGATAAATTTGTCTCTATAAAATAATTGCATGAAATATTTTTTCTTCTACAAAATTTATTTAATGATTTTTATTATTTTTAGTCAAAGTTGTCTGCTGTATATGGGAACACAAATTGCATCCGGCATGAAATTCCTTGAATCGAAGAATCTGGTGCATAAAGACTTGGCAGCCAGAAATTGTTTGGTAGGTCGCTCTTACACTGTCAAAGTAACCGACATAGCCATGTGCAGCGATCTTTACAAAAAAGATTACAGCGATATAGGCGGCAGACCGCCCGCACCGATTAGATGGTTACCTTGGGAAAGCATTCTACTAGTAAGATTTTTAGAATATTTTTTATCGATGCATAATATTATAAAAATTAAATCAATAAAATTTAATCAATATTAGAATTATATTATTAATTATGGGATATTTTTATGCTTTATGTAATAGATGGTATATTGGAACAAGAGTGAGTAATGGTAACATAATATTTAAATTTCAGGATAGGTATACATGTTCGAGTAGTATATGGTCTTTTGCCGTGACACTCTGGGAAGTAATGAGTCTTGCTAGGGAGAAACCCTTTCAACATCTGTCAAACGATCAAGTTATTCAGAATGCTGAACATATGTACTACGGAGGAGAGCTACAGGTAAACGTTTGTCTCGGCAATTACTTTTATGAATCATTTTTTAGACTAATGAAATTTTACTTGAGGATTTAGCATATTTTATACAAACTAGTCATACATATTGCATTTATATTTGTTTATTTATTACGAATATCAAATTATGAAACTTTCTCGTTCTCCGTAGCTCTTCATTTATCTTCAAATATTTGCATTTTAGGTACTTCTGCCGAAACCAACAATGTGCCCGGAAGAGGTTTATCTAATGATGTGTTCATGTTGGAGAAGAGACGAAACATCGCGACCAAACTTTAAGGATGTCTATACGTTCCTGAAGAACATAATAGCAGACTATCGACCTGCATAAATAATCTCGGTTAACTGTGATACGGAATGAACGGATAATCTCTTCGAATATAAACGACAACACATCGTCGGGAATATTTCAAGCTTGACGAATCGTTTATACGAGATCGTTATACTCGCCCGGCATGACGCCTCGCGAATCAGATTCTCCAGAAATGTACAATCGTTAGTTTTTAGACATACGTGTACCGACGACGCTGGACCTCGTGTCTCTTGCGAAAAATTAAATAAAGGCAAATAATTTGTGCCCCGTGAACAAAGGCGATGAAAGATTATCATCCGCAGATTTTTTCGCTCGTAATATCTGTTATCCAGACGAAAGTAATGACGGTATAACGGATATCGAAATAAATGCCAAAGCAGACAGCACACGAGGAGAAATGTACAATTATCGTGCAAGTGTTAGGTTTATTTTCTTCATATATTTGAAGGGGATAATTTTGCTCTTCTTTGAGTCAAAAAGTCTATAATCGCGTCACTTTTGTCTGGACGTCTAAAGAAATTTCATTTTCTAGTCAGTATAAATCTTTAATTCTCACGAAAGTGCTATCGTGTACAGTATTCTAACATTAATAATGTGTAATGTACGCCACTATGCTCAGTACTGATAAAATCTATCCATTTGTACATATAAAGTTTAAGTCTTAATGCTAGGTAAACGGGAAATTTTTACGGCAATAGATGTCACGACGGCTTTTTTTCTTTCATTTACCTTATTTTATTTATTTTTTTTAGACGTTTAACTCTTCTACAAATTTTACGATTACACAGAAAAATGGCTCTAATGTAATCACATTTTTATTTAATTCTCGAATACAGTGAGTTAATGGCTCGAATGTAAAAAGTATTCGTAAAATAGACACGAGCAATATTTGAGATAAGATACGTTTCATGAATTAAATACAGGCATAAGAGATACTGTAACATATGATATAATTTTGTTAGCTTACCGTCTTACTATGCCCTAAAAATTTCGGCTTAGTCAACAATTGTACATTCGAAATTTATCAGTAGTAAGTACTTATTATTCCATCATTCCGTTTAAATTAAAAATGTACTATGTTAAGTGGTGTAGATTTGAAGTATGTTCTTCCTAAGGATGCGTATGATATGAATATCTTGACAATGACATATCTTTGCTCGTTTTTATTTAAAAACAGAGAAATGCTAAGAACATTTAGTGACGAGTATCATGCAAAAAATTAATAAAAATTTAAACAAAAAAACGCTATATATTTGTTAAAATTCCAAATTACAAATACGCTTAAGCGTATCGATAATAGCAATACAACAAAAAATATTAGTATATAAAAGATATAAAAATTAAATCTTTTTATTATATAAAAATTAAACTTATGTTTATTTTTTGTTAATAAAAAATTCAATTGCTCCAATTTACTTAATTACATAATATTCATTATAATTACTCTTTTTCCATATTCATGATTGATTTGCATTCTAATTATCATTTTTGACATATGAATAAGTCTCAAAGAATAACGAAATGCAGCTTGTTATTTGTGTAAATAAAAATATAAATTTTTGGCGAAATTAGAAACGTATACATGCTCATACACACACACAGACACACACACACACACACACACACACATAAATTAATAAGCATAAACTCATTGCTTTTCAAATATATTGAGAGAGAGAGAGAGAGAGAGAGAGAGAGAAGAGAGAAAGATTGAGCTACAGAGAATTCTTGATAATTCTTATCATTATAATTGTTTTCCGATTTAACAAAGATTATGTAAAGGAGCAAAAATCAATCTCAATGAATGATAAGCTCTTGTTATGTACTTGTCTGCAATCGATTTTTTCAATAACAAATTAATTCATTGTAGAGGATCTGATCATCTGATTACCTGATCACTAAAAGCCCTCTAGATTTACGTGTGACATCATCTAAGGTATCTATTGACACAAATGATATTGTAATTCGGTCAACAGATTTAAAAAAATTATCAACGAACAATAAAAATTGTTAACAGGATCCAAAGATCAATGATAACACAGGCTACTCAAACTCAAGATTGCAATCTTTGAAATGCTTTTTTATATAAACGTGCAAACATATTATTGACACAATATTAAAATTGATAATTTAAACAAAATCATGCAGATATAAGATTTGAATAAATGTCTTTTATTATTTTTGTATATATTAAATTCACTCCCTGAAATTTATATTCACATAGTAAAAATATCAGCAGTATGTACGATAATATACACTGACTGAGTATATTTATTTTTTGTATTTCCAAAAATGTATACTTGATTTTACAGATGATTTATCGAAGTTATTTATTACGTTTATCTCTTATTTACAGTATATGAAGAAACAGAAGATTCCCTACATAGCTGATTATCAGCATGATTATGATTCTGAGCAGCAGTATAAAAATGAATGTTACATCGTTTGACAAAGTTTAACTAGCTCATTATACATATTAAAAATTCTACTTGAAAAATACCGATCTTTAGTGTCGTTGCACAATACCAATACGATAATGAGACCGACGAAAGATAAATGAGATTGATAAACGTGTTATATAATATTTTATAAATCTTAATATATTACAGAATGATATTTATCTAACGCATCAAAAAAGATAATCAAATTGATTTTAATCTATTTATATTTTTTATAATATATCAGACGGGAAATTTCCGTAATTTCCGAAATATCGTTATGCATATATGTCAATAACAAAAAAAAATATTATTCTTACTTTTACTAAAATAATAACCACATTTACCATTAAATATGCAATAAAAGAAATGAGCCTATGTACAAATATCTGCTACATCTCTGTTTAAAAATATATTTAATTCAGTCAAAAGAAGAATAAATCATTAAGAAGTTGTAAAGGTAAAAAGAAAGAAAAAAAATTGATAGAAAAAGGTAAAAAATATCAATCGTACAGAGTTTAAAATCAAATTGCACAACAATATAGATAATGTTGTCTGATGCATAAAAATAAACTCTACTTACTACGACATAACCGGTTCTACAAACCTTCGACTGTTATCTGCAGTCGAGTTATCAATAGTGCAAATAATATTGGTACCATACATTTCATGAATAGTTGAATACAACAATCAATAAATCCGAAAAGCCTCTAAAGCAGCTTTCTCCAGTAGTTTCTCTAAGAACATATGATTATCATTCAATGAATCACAAAGACGAATCACATCCGATATCGCAGATAAAAAAAGGATAATGTTTATTCAAGTCAGAAAGCGATATACGATTAGTAAACGTGTGTGCGTGCCATTTATTTTAGCGTACGTGTGTACGTGTATCGTATAACGCTAGTAGCTTGTATATATATAATGGTAGTATCGGGGAAAAGAGATCATTGAATCGTCGACTGTGACAGAGAATCACAAGCTACCATACACTCCGACACTCTTTCTCGCCGAAAGAATGAGATCTTACTTGCTTATATTCATCGTCCTCGCGACGGTCCTTTTCTACACCAGTAAGTAAATATTTTTTTATGTAAAATGAGATAAATTATATCATATAACTAACACTTTCACAACGTAAATTTGCCAAATATACGTGCCATAAATTTGTATTTTTTAACATATATACGAAGGAAAAAGAAATTGACTTCAACTTGTCATTTTTTTTCATTTAAGAAAGTTATTTATAATTATATAATATTGACAATATTATTTTATACACAATAATTCAATTTTATTTTTTAATAATATGAAAGTTATATAAAACTATCAAATATTTTAAATATGATCTGATAACTTTTTTTCGTTGTTCTATTCTTTACATTTATATCTTTTTATCATATTACATTTTAATTAAAATATTATATTTTTTGCATTACTTTAAAAAGTTAATTTGTTTCTTCTGAGAATACATTTATATAATAATAATATTTTGAAGATATTTATACAAATTAAAATTAATATTTGTTCTGTATACACGCACAAACACACAGAGAGATATAATGCAAAGAAATAAAATCATATATCTGTGTGTATGTTTATATAATTACATTAATTACACAAAAAGTTTCCTTTTAAAATAAATATTAATTTTTAAAAGATTAATTAAAATCTATTACATTAAACTATTATATTAAAAAAAAAATAAAAATAAAAATATGTGTAAAATATAATTAATATTATAATTAAATAATCTTTCTTAAATGAAAAAAGTTGAAGTCAATTTATTTTTTCTTCACATATGTATATTTTTGTTAAAAAATATAACATTAATTAAATCTTTCTTGACGCAATGGGAAGAAGCAGTTGTCGAAACGCAATTTGAATAAAAATGTTTTCAGAACACATCAATGCGGAAGAAGTATGTGCACAAGAGAACTGTGTTACACCTGAAAAGTGTGAAGAACCGATAAAGAATCAAAAAAAAACTTGCAATGAATTGGGTACTACATGCTGCAGTATAGGTGAGTCTTTTTGTAGATATATTGTTACAATTATTATTAAAGATATTAAATATTTCACAATTATAATTATAAAATAGAATATTATATAATATCATAAAGAATTACAAAATTATTAATCAGATTAATAAGAATTGAAAAAATGGCGCATATTTTTTTATATTTATTATGTTTTGAAACATAATTTAAACATATATCTAATATATATGTATATAAATTCTCTCATAGCGAATTCGTTTGGATGCACTAATCCGCATTGAGTGCACACGATAAGGTTGTCGCACACAATTTTATAATAATGACATACCATAAGTAATTAAAAAGGTAAAATAAGAATTATATTATTATCATTATTCATATTAAACAACAATAATAAAAAATTTTACTATTAATCCTTTTTAATTACTTGCGTCATTATGAACTTGTGAGTGATAACCTTTTATATGCACTCACGTCAGTGCGCACTAGTGCATCCAATCGAATTCGCTATCTATACAGCATGATCGCTAAATTTCTTCCGCAATACAAATGCGTATTATTTATTTGGCAAATATTTTCGCGAACATAAGTTAATATCAGAACACACAAATTCATGAATTCGTGTTGCTGCATTATAAATTTCAAATGATTATAGTGAATTAATTTTATGCGTCCCTTTCAAATCGTTTAATCAATTATGTTCGGTTATTCACTTCTATTTAATGACATCAATATTTCATTTACAATATAGATTCATATCTAAATAGTCGATTTTCTTAACATTTTCACAAATCTATAACAGCGATACTTTAACTTTTAAAGCGATAAAGCAAATTATATTACTCTATTATCATATGTATAAGAACGTTACAATTTTTTTCTCTTGTGCGATAATGAAATCTATGAAATCGACACGTTCTTTTATGTTTTTCTCTTCAAAGATAAATTCTTTATTATTACAGTTAAAGAAGAGTACAGAACCCATTGCAGACATCATGGTGGAGTATGCATGGAAACCTGCACTTTGACACTACAACGTCAAGCGATTGACTGTCCAAGTCAAGTCTGTTGCGTTTTAGTTTAAACAACTTACTAAAGCATAATAATTAATTAAAGAATAATCTCTCTCTTTCTGATTACGACAAATTTTAATTTAATATAATCATATGGCAAAATGTCAAAAGAATCATTAACATTGGCTCTCTTAATTAGAAATATATATTATACAATTTTTAAAAGCATATCCCTTTTCATAGAATAGGCATATATTGTTTTTATAACATGAGAAAAAATTAAAATTACTATTATAATAAGATTTTTTTTTATTATACTGAGAAACAGATATTGAAAAGTTCATTAAATAATTTGCTGTATACATGAATTGTCCTATTTAATATATACGGATATATATGGATCTATTACTAATAAATTTATTATATATATATAGTTAATATAAATTATATTCACAAAATAGAAACATCGTCTCTACATAAAACACTTAAAAAATTTTATTTTTATTATCAATGTTGATAACATTATAAAAATAATGATAAGCCAACGTTATGTGTCAATTCTGATAAGTTTCTAGAGACTACACTTACATTATTTTTAAAATATATAACATATACATATATTTACCACATCAAATTATTTAATTAAAATTTAAATGTAAAAAAATGTATGTATATGTATGTATGTGCGTGTGTGTTTTATGTGGAATGTAATTTTAAATATTATAACAATTATTAATAAAAACCTCTTATATTTATCTCTTATTTTATATATAGCTAAAATTATTCCAGAAATGAGAAATTAAAAGCACTGGTTCTCAATTAGTCCATTTCCTTTATATTAGCGAATAAAATTATTCTCAATCTACCTATGTACCTAATCTTCGATCAATAACATCATAATTATTACATATCTATATAATATATAATATACAATTGCTAATTCATTGAGATATGTAATTATTAATTAATATATTTAAAATCTGTTATAAACTCATTATAGGTGAATCGTGCTAAAATAATGTAATGTAAAATTTTTGATAAAAAAACACGGATTATATCGCAGTGTCCTAGTATATGGTAATTGCAATTTGGAATATCTTTAGTTGAAATAATTTTCTCAGGAAAGGATTTAGACAAATTGTATCTTGATTCGGATTAAACTTTTTACCGATTAAATTGGAATATTAAAAACTACCGTTTTTCTTCTTGCAATCCTCGAACAATGATAATTTTTAAGAAGTCAGGAAAGGAAAAGAAGGGAAAGGAGAAAGCAAGTGGGATATACCGTGAAGTTTTATCTGGAAAGAAAAGTTGCCCGGAGCGGAGACGAGCTGAGGCGGTTGACAAGGGGTCGGTCAAGGAACAACGTGTACAAGAGAGGCGACCAAAAGAAAAAGGACAGAAACGAGTGAGTGAGGGGAATAAAAAAAAAGAGGAAAGAAGGTGTACGGAGCAGAAAAGAGGGATATGCTTTGCCATGGGCACTGCAGTCAGAACGTACAATAATACATACATATCCGTGCACTGACATACAAAACTGTATTGGTCAGCCTTTGACGATTAAGACTCTCACGCAACAGAAAAAAGAAACGAGAGAAATAATATAAAATATACGAAACATTAGTAATAGGTTTGTTTCATTTTTTTGCGATTAATTGACATATGTTCTTTATTCCTTAATTGTTTTGTGCTAGTTAGTGATGAATTAGAATTAAAAACAGAGCGTTGCTTATATAAATAAAATTTTTAATCAATCAAAATTAATATTGGACGCTAGTGGTGAAAATAAACTTGGCAAAATTGATTTCGACGTAACTAGCAATTTTTCAATACTTTCACGACGTTTCGACCATTTGGTTGTGGTCCTTATCAAGTGAGAATTCCATCAGTCGTTGACGAAACATCATAGCGATGGGACGTGTTCCTCTTTTAACTATTAATTTTAATAAGATCGGTTTTATGTTAATCTCATTTTAATCGATGGAATTCTCACTTGATAAGGACCACAACCAAATGGTCGAAACGTCGTGAAAGTATTGAATAAAATTGCTAGTTACGTCGAAATCAATTTTTTTGCCAAGAAAATTTTTAATATTCAGAAATACCAGAAACTATACGCAATCGCGCTCGAATATGTGTAAAATCATTGTAATTAATTGACAAAGTATAAAAACTATCGTTGCAAACAAAAAAGAAGAAAAAGATAACTCTGTACTTTCAATTCCATCTTTTCGCGATACAGCTAAAATCCTATAACACAAATGATGTGACAAATGAAAAACAGGTGTAAAACTGAAGTGGATAACACAGTTATTATATATGGCAATGAAGAAAAGACAAGCTGGAAAATGAGATACGTTAAAAGGTCGCAAGAGTCACTGACATTTCCATTGCACGCCGTAATATCCATCGTTCCATTCTCATTTCTCCGTTTGAAATCTCTCTTTCTATTTCTCTTGCAACACACGCAATTGAAAAATATGCGATGAAAAGAAGAGGAAAGAAGAAAAGTACAAGAATTGCGTCGCCGGAAGCGATGTACGGGCAGATGCCAATATGACGGTATACACACGCACTCGCACGTACACGCGCAAGAGAGCCGTTGACCCCCTCCAGGGGTAAAAGCGCATAATATTACATAGCGGAGAACAAGAAAAAGCGCATCCCCTCTATGACTGTATAAGCCCTGTAGCGTCAGCCGAGAAAGACACCCTCGGGGTTGCTCGGCCGAAGATACGAAGCGAAACGCGCCAGCGACTTCAATGAGACTGCGATAACAAAATGGCGATAACATATTATCTTTCGCGGGCGCGAAATGTTTCAAGAAGCGAAACGGAAAGAGTACATATATACCGATGAGGAACTTTGAAGGTAAATTTTGCAAAACGCGCGGCAGCGCCCTAGGGTGGTAGATTATCCTAATCTCATTATTTTTCTTGCGATAAATGATGCCATCAACCAAGTAGGAGAATGCAAAGTTCAAGAAGAACGGGAGGGTAGCGCATCTAGCCGCGAGGGATGCAGGCAAAATGTCGGCGAGATGCGATGGTATGTACACGTATCTGCATGCATGCATGCATCCATGCATGCGCGTGCGTGCATATACATACGCGTTCGTGCACTTACACGCACATGCATATTTAATATGTATATATATAAGTGTGTATATATATATATATTTAATATGTATATATATGTGTGTATATATATATATATATATTTAATATGTATATATATGTATATATATATATATATATATATATTCGCGAGAGAGTCGTTTCGGGTGGCCCGCGGCATGGGATCGCGGCGTGGGAGAAGAAGAAGGACGTCGTCTTTCTCTCCCTGCTCCCCATCCCTCGTTACACCCTTCTTCTTCTTGCGTTCGTCCGCGCTATCGTTGTGCGCGAGTGTTTTGCCCTGGGCGGTAGACGCGCGGTACTGCTGCATCCAACCATGAAGCGGTGCGGTCGTTCCGCTGCGGGCGCGGAAACGAGAGATAGCGCGGCGAGCCTCGTCCTCTCCACCTTCGTGTCCCAGTGAGAAAGGTGGTCGAAGGGCCAGAATGGTGGAAAGAGAGAGAGAGAGAGAGAGGGATCTCTCTATGTTGCCCCGAGGGTATCCAGCGAGACAATGCGCTCCGTGACGCTTCGGGCGACTCCAAGGCAGACCGTAGTTCTCCCTCGTTTTCTCCTCCCGTCCTAGGCCTCTGGCGATTCTTCGCTCTTCCGTCCCTCTTTTTCTCCCTTTCTTTCCTCCCGCGTTATAGCAGTTCTTTCTCTTCCTCATCCCCGCGAGACTCTTTCCGTTCTCGTCATTTGCATCAACTTTTGCTGATATTGAAATTATTCTGTGTAGATACGTATACAGAATTCTTGGAAAGCGGATACGTAATTCTTGGAAAAATCCATCTTCTTTTCGCAAAAATTGGAAAGTAGAAAAAACATAATTTATACGCTTTTTTTGGTTATCGTCTGAGATACGTAAATAAAAATTTGTTTTAAAATCTCGTTAAAAAATGGCGAAGAAAAGAATGCGGATGTGACTGATTGTTGCGTAAATCAGCGCAACACTTATATCCCTGACTATGGTCGAATTATTGCAACGTTCTGGGTGACCTTATTCGGCCCTCGCTGTGTTTCCAGGTTCCGGTGCGTCATTACTTCACTCTAAATCTTCATAACTGTCTCCGGTGTATATCCAGGACGTAAAATTTCTAGAATGTCTCCCCAATTGCAATAAAGCGTTCTTCGGCGTCCTTCTTTACCACCAGCTAGCGCCTGCTCTTATATCACCCTAACACACATAGCCTCCTCCACCTCGTCCTCCTTCTCTATTGCGTTCTCTCTTCTAGTGCACGCTCGCTTGGAGGGAGTAACGATGCCCTGGAGCAAGCCTCCACGGCGCGGCACCGTGGTAACGATAAGCAACGAAATGAAATATTAATGAAGTACCTGAGCGCACGTCCATTTTTCGCGGACGTCTCACCACCGACGCCCCAGGTGGCGAAGAAAAAGTCGGCTAGCTCATCGGAAGTGAAAGAATCATCGCTAGAAAGCAGAGAAAAAGAAGAGAAGAAAACGAGGCTGTGTCATTCTCGCGGCATCAAGATTGGAGGAATATGACATTTTGATTTGACCGTATCTAGTATCATGTATCAAGAAAAATCTCACGTTACTTCATTATCTCTTTCTCTCTCTCTCTCTCTCTGCAAAAATTTAGCTATATGCAAAATATAAAAGTTTCATATTGTTAGTATTTTTATATTTCTATTTTTCTTTTCATCTGTTGTCGTTGAAACTCTGTATTTAAGAACTTTTTCGAAAATGTAAAATATGGGAAACAGTTGAGCTTTATAAGAAAGTTTATAGAGGAAAAAGAGAAACGTAGAGAGAAAAAGAGACGATGATAAAAAAGAATATCGAAGTATAAGTTTTTTACTAAGGTTTTACTATGATATTTTCAAAAATTTCATATTCATATAAATTGAACAAATTTCTTCTAATTTAAATATAGAATTATATAATGATATAGATATTATATAATCTTATCTATATTCTTAATCGATCAAAACAAAATTAATTTCCGTAACTTTTCGTATCATTAAATATTCTGTCTGTCAAATTCATATAGACATCCATGTGATTCTTATCATACACTTGCACAATCGTTATTGACATTTTATATATTTCATTGCATTTTTTATCGATTAAAGATGTAAAATTATCGGAACCATTTATATGTGGCATGACAATGAAAATGCGAACGCATCTATATTACAACGATAAATATCTCTT